CCCCAAAACCCCAAAACCCCAAAACCCCAAAACCCCAAAACCCCTTTTATATTATAAGATTTCGAAGGTTCAAAATGAATATTGTTCTTCCTGATCTTCATTCTGAAGTTTTAATTTTGATCTTGATCAGCTTTGTCACAAATCCTAGACTTGGCATGTAGCTAAGAATCAGGAGACACTTCAGAAAAAGTTCTAAACCAGAGAAAGATGTATTTTGTGTTTTTGTGGCTCATTAGGTGATATCAAAATCACGATAAAGTTTAAGTTGCAACCAAATATATAAGCTAATGGAGAGTTTCACAGAGCATCCAAGTTTGTAAAGATAAAAATAAGAAAATTGAGAGAAGATAATATTAAAGCTTGATAAGTTCCATTAAGTTTGGCCTTCTTCAAAATCTGAAGAAAGAGTTACAGTTCTAACAGATTATGAATTTTAATAACAAATTATAATATTCAAACACAAAGAATATTTTTGCTTCAAAAGATGCCCATATAATGTCAGAATCACTTTCTAATGGCTTCTTATGAGAAAATCTGGAGCAATTAGCTTGTGTTTGAAAATATCGAAAATTGGAAAATGTCGGTTGAGAAATTTTACAATAGCTACTTTCTATCATTATGGGATTATAGAATCCTCTAAGTCATAAACCATTGGGCACAGAGGTACCTTGGGAATGTAGATGGAGCCTTAAACTGTTTGAGTTCATAGTGATGATATCACCAGCTCTGTTTCAATAATGATCTAAAATTCTTCATAAAAATCCTTTTGAAAATTCTCATGCTAAATAACTTTTCATACTTTCCAAACTTTTCTTGGTGAATAATAAATCTCAGTGAGCAAGTTCACAGTTACAAATCTTCTCATTACGCCTTGGTATTTAGTATTTTTATTATCTTAAGACTTCCTCTTCAGAGACCTAGATAGAGAGGTGTTGCAAACAGTATTTCCTGGATTTTCTCAATTTATCTGTAACTGTTTTTGGGATTATTAAAGGAACAAACCGTCTTATTATTGATAAAATGATTTCAAAGGACACCTGAGGTGCTGACCAAGGTCTTCAAAGAGATATAGATGTTATTAATGATGCTTTCATAATTATTTTCCTCCCTTTGAGTACATTCAGGTTCAAACCAGCAATTCAGGCTGGTAATTAGAATGGATGTCTTTCATTTTAGATATCTTAATAATGTAGGGAGCATTGCAAAAGCATGCTTACCCTTATCTCCTTAATTTTTAGCTAGCTCTAAGGCTCTTGCTAAGTTAAGGTGAGCCTTGTTTACAATGTCTTTGGTCCTGAATTATTATACCTTTAAGCTCTATAATCCTACTATTTTAATTGTTTAGAACTTTGCTGTGTTATTAACTCGTGTTAGAACACTTGTGAACAGGTATTCAGAGTCCCAACTTTGTGCAGTGCAGCCAGCCTTAACCAGAGCATATTATTTTCATCTAAATCTCTTGGAGAAGTAAACCTCTAGAGAGACTTGAGGTATCAATTATCTGGCTTTCATCTTTTCCAAAGATTTTAAGAATATTTCTAACTGGCTTATCAATTCATGGTGGCTTATTTTATCAAGAATTAATTAGCCATAACTTTATGAGACAATAAAGATATTCCCTATGGCTTCTAATGAGGGTTATGATCCTTTATTTTAATTAAAAGAACTCTTGATTAATGTCGACAGAAGTCCTTATAATTTTCAAACCCTTAATGTCTTAATGGAGAAATCGGAGTTTATTTCTTCAAATTCGCCAATTTATTAGATAAGATAGCTTAAAGCAGAGGGTAATTTAGTGTGAAAATATCAGGAAATATCTAAATTTGTCTTTATCGTTATTCTCCAATTAAAAGAGAGTTCATTGGTGAGAGGAAAAATTAGTGTATATAAAGATTAAGTCTATCATCTGTTTTATGGGAAATTTTCATTAAACTTTAGATGCCATGAGTTCTTCACAAATCCTAATTAGGAACAGCTGCTTCCGACCAAATTTCTCGTTGGCCGTACTATGCAGGTGTTCTTTAATAACAAAAAATGCAACTATAGTTTATTTCCATTATGAAAGACTAAAAGATTTCCAAGATGATAAAGGATCTAGAAATTCCAATTTATCTCAACCACTGATGTTCTAAAACTTGTCTAAACCTCTTTGTATAATTCTCAGTGTAGTGATACGATATTGTCATATATCATCACACTAAACTCACTCATCTTTGGATCCTTGGACGGGGATATAATCTAAGAGAGACCGCAAATATTAATTAAGTATGCTTTGTAAAGTCTGGCCACTCTAAACCATTTTTACATATAGAGGGAATATTACAAGATCCATAAAAATGTAGGTACTCAGTAGTCTCAGAATCCTCTTTTCGTAATGCCTCATAGAGTTGTCCAAACATGGATCCCAGCCAGACTAGCAGCATTGCCTAGTTGAAGACTATTATTTCTATCATATTTTGAGAATTCACTACTAGAGTTTAACTCTAACTCTATTTATCTGTCAAACTAAAGTTGCAATATTTTCATCATTTTTGGATGACTCGCTTAACAATTTTCAGAAATGGGAGTCTTGCCTAACTGTGGGCCAGGATTTGTCAAACTTTGCATGAAATATTTACTCGAAGAAATAATCATTTTTGGCTGGAATCCTTTAAAGATGAAGAGATTAGTATTCTTTGCTTACAAATATGTTAATTAAAGGTCTGGGAATGTCCTATTTATTAATAAGATATTTACAACCTCTTATTGACCCGAAGGCTGCACTCTAGTCTAAAAAAGTGTGCTTATTGTATCGCATATGGCTATATATGCAAGTCACTTATTTCAAGAAATTATCCTGCAGTGAGCCACCTTAAATTACTTTATTTCGACCCAATTTGTCATCTTTAATTTAGCTGTTCCATATACCCTTAATCAATAAGACTTAAGTTATAGTTGGGAATTTCATATTTTGGTGATTTAATGATAAACCTCGATTACTCAAAATTTATGTCTTTCATGGACCTAGTGAATTATTCCGAAGTTCAACCATCGAGTTCTATTGATTCATAAGTAATTATTAAGTAAATTTCACTATATAATTAGGCACATATAGCTCTTACCTTCCTCGTCTGCAAGAATAGAGATCAATTGCTCCTGTAAATTACCTAAAAAGGTCTTTTAGAATTAAATTTCTTCCCAAACTTAGCATTTTGTTGTGCTCTCTTAACCTATGATTATACAAGAGATGTAAGGTAAGAGACCCTGCAGCTACTATTTAAAGAGAAGTTTATCTAGAAAGTTAATATAATTAAAATAAAACATGGATACTAATCCCATGCTATTTAGCCAAGGAAGCGATTTGGGCATTCCGAGAGGTGAACTGGCTTTTTTAAAGCCGATTGAACTTCCTTCATTAGGAGATACATTGATAACTGAGCTTGCCAGATCCTATTGCTTGTGAAATTTTGATTTGAAGTGTTTTTGCCATTGAGAAACACCAAGTCCATTATCACCTTTAAGTGATGAGTTTAAGACTTGACTCAACAATAATCTTCAAGAGTATCCAGAATTCCAAAATGAGACTGAAGTTGACTACACTGGTAGGGCTCCGTCACTAGGAGATAGGACAAATTATCTCCAGTCAAGATTAACCAGGCTGTATCAGTACTTGGTGAGAATTGAAGATCCTTTCAAGACTCTTGTGTTTGGAAGACCCAAAGCAAACCGTAGAATTTCAAAAATCAGTACAAGGAGGTCTCGCTACACTGGAGTGTTCAAGAATGGTTTGAGATGGCAAGCCCTCATCAATGTTGGAAACAAGAAGACATACATTCATACCTACTCAACTCAAGAAGAGGCAGCCAGAGCCTTCGATTTGATGTCCCTACTCCTGAACAGAATGAAGGCAGTGACGAATTACAGTTACTCGAAGGAAGACATTTTTTCATTATTTTCAGAGTATTCAGACATAGTTAACAAATTCTGCTCATAATAGATTTCTACCATGACGTCGACCTCCGGGGTTTTGGGGTTTTGGGGTTTTGGGGTTTTGGGG